CGTTCTGACGGATGACAAAGATGGCCTCCTTGCCGATATCATTAACCGAATCCCTTCTTCGAAGAAGTATACGCTTCTCTACGTGACATCGCCGAGGGAGTTCGAGGGATCCGAGGGAATCGTATATCAAGCCGAGGACGGTTACCAGGACCCTCTCCACATGGAGCTGAAGCGGGACTACTCAGCCCATGGAAGTCAAAGTGCTCCTGCCTCTAACAAGTCTCTTTTCCGAGAGTACCAATACCTTACTCCAGGTACGATCCCAGAGGGGTTCCTGCAAAGTTCTTACATAGTGACTGACCGCTTCTAGGTATATTTATGGGCTTTCTTGCAGTCTTTTTCTTCCTGATGATCTTATACGTTGGTATTCGAGCTCTTACGAGTCTTGAAGTTCCCTATGCGGCCTTTGAAAAGGATACGGCCGCCAGCGTGCAGAAGAAACAGCAATGATTACTCGTTGACATTATTGAATTATTACCATTGCAGCGAACATATTATTGGCTATCTTTGTCTCTTATACCATATCTGAACTGACCTCAGTAGCTTCGCAAAGTCCAACCGAGAGCTAGCCCAGCATGCTGTATCAATGCAACTCGCCTTCATATCGTGTATATTTGTCGTGGCAATTTCATTGGGAGTATCAAAATGGGCCCCCAATTAAATTCGGCTCTCGCGAAGCATGGACACATATGACAAAGACTTCATCGAATTTAAATAAGTGAAATAGAAGATAAGGGTAGGACAGTAGTTTAATGCCTATATATAGAGATCACGTGGTTTACTCCGCCTCCACAGCATGGATTTGGCGCCTGAGGCAGAAGCCAGGCACGGGGTCAACAACCAGCCCAGCGAGGGCACATCGATAATTTACGGCGGTAGTGAGACTACTCCAAAGCCTCATTTCCATCGAAGTTTGTGAGCTGCATTTGCCCAGCTGTCCTTCGCTCTTCATTGTCCTTCATATTCCAGTGTCTTCCCGATAGGCTTCTCCTCACCCAACGAGCGTTATCGCAAAAGTTGAATAGTTTGGCTCCAGACCATTCGGTACAAACCTGCACCCTAAGGCCAGACCTTCTGGAGAGAACTGCACCTCCTCATTGAGGGCTTGATTGCGTTTGTTCAGGATCGCGCGTGCGACAGACTTTATCAATGTGCTGAACGAGGTGATCTATTGGTCGGGATTCATACTCCTCGTCTAAAAGGAAACGTCTACATACTGCTTACCCCCTCCGACGATGAGATTCCTCAACGTGGGGCGTGCGAAGCCCCATCAGCCCTCCTTTACATTGCTTCTATTTCTCTTGATCGTCTTGCTGGCTCAACTGGCCTCTGCCCAGCGTAATACTAATCCTGACGTTGCTGCAACTACCGCGCATACGACCGAGGGCACGAAGGCCACAGATCCAGCGACTACGGACGCGGGGAAGACCTCCGATTCGAAATCGACGACCGATGCCAAAACTACAGATGCTTCGACGAGTAGTGAAACCTCAACCACGGAAGCTTCTAGGACTACCGATGCATCGACGACGTCGACAGTCTCTACCACAAACTTAGCGGGCTCGACTGCATCGTCTGCAACCTCTACAGACGGATTCCCTGTGGTGACCGTGCCACCGACAGCGGATGCGCCGTACATGCAGAAATCGAACACGCCCGAAGGGACGGTGTTCATTGCTGTAGGTGCAGCTCTAGGTTTGATTGGACTCTCGGTGCTGGCATGGCGTGGGCTCGTCGCATGGTCAGTCAACCGATCCGTCCGCCGCGCTGCGTTGATGCACGCTTCCGAAAAGAAAGGACTCCTTCGCTCCAAGAGGAAAAGGTCATCAAGGCATTCTCGCGCTCTACCTGCGACCATGTCACTAGAAAAGCTTCCCCCACACCCCCGCAACAGCTACAATCCAAGAGCATCCAATATCCCCAGTACTGGTAGCGGTCTCTTCTTCTCTCCGACTGCGGGCGCCGGAATGCATACAAGCGGAAACAGAGGATCCAGCTACCTTCCGGCTGGATACTATGCTGCAGGAAACGCTGCCCCCGCAGGAAGTCAGAACCTCCCATACTCGACGCCGGAAATGCGACCACACTCGCAGGGCTACATTCGCACCAAATCTAATCCGAGCCCCCCTAGGTCACCGGGTCTATCGCCTAGCAATCTACATGACATCAACTACGATCCTCCCACCAGGCATTCGTATGTCGCAGGCTCCACCAGCTCGTTGAACCTTGCCTCTCCGACCCATGGAAGAACTCCCAGTGCGTTCCTGGAGGATCTTTTTGAAAGTCATGCCCCTCAATCGGACAACGGTCATAGATGATTGAGCCTTCAACGCACGTTGAAATGTGCATTGCGTTTCCTTAATTTCTTTCCTTTTTCATCTATTCCTATCTCGGGTTCACAGCTTTCGAGCCATACATACAGGATTTCGTTTAACACATACTTAAGTTAATATTCATGTCTCTGTATGAGTCACGCATGGCCATCCTCGTGGCATTCTATCTCCTCTTTGATTCTTGCAGAGTGTTGACTGCAGATTGGCTAAGCCAAGACGGACAGGGCTGTGATTGATTACTGTACATTTTCGTTTTTCCTTCTCAATGATTTATACTAGCCTTCTGTTAATGATAAGCCTGATAACTGTCTATATGCTCGCTGTGTATTATTGCGCACCAGGACAAGACATGGAAACGAGATTCAAAGACCGCGGAAGAGGACAACTCCAGAACGCTCGGATATATGATAAAGACCAAAAGGCTTGCGACGTCAGTATTTACAAGCAACGAAGCCGCCAAAAGCGGACATAATTCAAAGCCAAGTTGACGCATGGAGTGAAATGTTGAAAGGGCCGGGAAGGCAAAGGGCTCAAGTAGACAAACATTCGAAGACGCGCGCCATACGTTGGAACAACATACGAGAAGTCAGAAAGGATGAAATATCCTGGGGCAGTGTCATGTCACCGATAGGAGATAACAGTGAAGATCTGCGGTTTCAGTCGGCGTCCAGTTTGCTATTGAACTCGCCGAGAAGTATGTCGCCCATGGCTGGATCACGGCTGTTTCTGACTGCAGATTTTGAATCAGCATCGAGCGACGATAAAATGGGAGATGATGACTTACTCATTTCTGCTTCTGCTCGGAAAAAGATCCACATCCATCGTCTGGCGACTTCCAAGGCCATGAGCAGGAAGATGCCGCACTCCTTCTCGCTAAGCCAGACAAAGCCCGGTAAGAATCGAGTAACCCATGAAAATCGAATGAGTAGGTCAGTAAGTATTGCGGCATAGTAAAGCCGATCGGAGAAGAATCGACGGCGGCGCAGGCCATAAGGGCAGTCCGGATCGGCACGAGAAGAAGTGAAGAGGGTCAAATCCCAATCCTTGCTTATGTCCCAGTAAAAGGAGTAGGTAGAGTTGACGAAAGCGAAGAAGGTGCTGAGATACGACAATTGTTAGTTGTGATTTCTCGCGCTCTGAGCATAGAGCGATGGGATATACATACAGCAGCCGGGAAAGGCTCATTTCGCTGAACCCATAGAACTCGAAAGGATTGTAATTCCTAAGCTTGGCCGCAAGAATAATAACGGGGAATGCAGTGGCATATTTCAAGGCGTTTGCCAGGTGTTGTGCTCCTTTATTTCCCCCTTTTTGACCAACCCGACGCACACGAAGATATTCAGTTAGACACTGGCGCAGTCGGATCATGCTGGGGACTGCGATAATGATAGGGACCACATAATCGTTTCCACAACTGCGATTCGGTTTAGAGGTGCTCGAAATATCCGCTGTGAAGAACATGCAGAATGTAACATAGAGGTCCCCCAAGATTTTGGCATAGCTGGTAAGAGCATCTGCCAGCAGTATGTCTCCAAATTTACCATCTTGAGGCTCCGCCAATCCTCCTACACTAATGCGTCGCAAAGACCTAAGAAACCGACTTCGTCCGGACCGTGACAAACGGTTGATGGGCAGAATGAGTAGAATGAAGAATATAAATAGATACGATTGCGGAATGAAGTCTAACGACTCCACTCGCTCAGCAGAGCCGTGGGTAAGCACCCAGAAGATAAGGAGGGAAAGCAGGAGAGGGGCCGTCAAAAGGGTAGCGAGCCGGTAAGTAGAAGTATGGTGAGAGGGTTGTCGAGGAGTTTGACGGGCGGGATAATGGATGAGGGCCGGGAGATCCTAGAAAGAGTAAGCATATGATTCCGCACGAGATTCTCTGTATTTGAGGGAATGGAGGGGCCAGCTCACAATATTTGCCCGAGAGAGATATTGAAGGTTGGCACCCCAACCCCAGAATCCTAAGCCACAAATTAATATTACGTATGATTGACCGATCGGAGGGTGAATACGCACCAGCAACCAGTATTACTGCAACCCGATAGGGGAAAGGGAGAAAAAGACTGAAGCCGTCAAGTTGAGCATGTTGATCAGGACCCATATTCCATCGAAAAAGCGGCGCTGCGAATCAGCACCTAAATAAGAGTCTCAATAAGACGAGGGTGAGAAGAACAAGCCGAATGTGATAGAGAGAAATGCTTTCCAATCGGACAAGAACAGAACAAAGAGCTAGAATTGAGGCAAAAAGAGTGACTAGGGGTGAGAAGTTACTGCCAAAAATTAATCGTCATGGGCTGGACTAGACCTTCTACGGAGATTCTTGATGCAGAAGCTCAGGGACAGACGACGGCTTCGGCGGTTCCGCGCGGCTTCTAGTTTCGGAAGCGCCAGTCTTTTGTAGGCTTAGTGTGGTATCTGCAGAGTGGTGAAATCCAAAAATGGAATCTTCTACCCCACGTGAGCTTGAGATAACGTGATAAGAGTCACGTGTGAATTACCGAGGCATTTCGTACTCATCGCCGAATTGCCAGGGAGCTCTCCGCTTCGTGGGGAAGAGATGAAGCACAATTACCAGCAGATAACGATGTTACTTCCCTGATTGACTCCTTAGTCGTGATTATTTTGTTGCTTGCATCTTCTTGACAACTTTCAGGCGTCAGCATGGCAGACGAAGATCTCAAACTCTCCTTATCTACTCCCACATCATCTCCGCTGCCTTCAAGCTCCTCGGCGCATTTCTACCCCTTCGCAACGTCACCGGATATTATCCGCTCCCACGAAAAGGACGTTTTCCTGACTTCCAGTCTGGTCAATCAGGCACAAGCGATCATTCGCTCTCTCCGTGGCGCACGCTTTGCTCATATCCACTCGGACGCGATCAAACACCTGACCGAGATTCTATACTTCTCACTAACGACATTAATTGGCAATCGGACTCTGGGAGAGGAGTATTGCGATCTCGTGCAACTGGAAGATGATACACTTCAGCTTCCCTCGATTCACCGAAGAGCGGGCTATATTCTGAGTAGCATCCTTGTACCGTGGGCGCTTCAGCGGATTCTCCCCGGGTTTCGCCAGCGACTACGCGCGAAATTGGAGCGTAGCATCGCCCGGCAACAACTCAAAGCGCAGCAGAAAGCAGAAGAATTGAGATTTACCAAGAAAAATGCTTTGAAGAAGCAGTCATTCTTCACCGCACTTCGAGTCCAGAAATACATTCTGGAGCATCTCGACTCGATCACCTCGCTTTCACCTATTTACGCCCTAAGTATAGCAACCTTTTATTTCACTGGCTCCTACTATCATTTGTCGAAACGCTTCTGGGGACTGCGCTACGTGTTCACGAAGAAACTGGAGGAAAATGAACAGAGAGTAGGGTATGAGGTCTTGGGAGTTTTGCTTGTCCTTCAGATCGCGGTACAAGGCACTCTGCATATTCGAAAACTCGGCCTTAGTATGCAACAAGAGGGAGAGGGTATTGAGACCGAAGTGGCCAGTTCCAAGCCTCAAGATGACTCCTTGATCCGCTCCATTCAGAATCCTTACAACCTCCCGCTTCTTCCTGCTTCTGCAGCTCGATATGATCTTTCAGAAGACTCGAATGCCATTCCGTGGATTCCTTCAGGGCAACAGAGCAAGTGCACGCTTTGTCTGGAACTATACAAAGATCCCAGTGTCACAACATGTGGACATGTCTTCTGTTGGACGTGTATTCGCGATTGGGTACGCGAGAAGCCCGAGTGTCCACTCTGTCGACAAGAGGTAATACCATCTAAGGTCCTGCCGCTGAGGGGCTGAATCAATGTACATTCGTTATGAGCATATCAATGTTCGGTGCACGGTTTCCAATTCGCCTGCAACCTCATCCAGCCTTGATATTATGGCTTCTAGGCAGGTTGACGGGTTGACCGTTGACCAGCTTGTGACATATACCCACTGCTACTTTTGTTGTATGATAAACTCAACATTTCAATTCGGAACGAAATCAATGACACTTGCAAAGTCTCGCTCATTTGCGTTTACATGGCTTGCTTGACTTGGTAAAAAATGATCAGAAACTGGCAACGCACTTTTTATAATGCAATGACGCTGAATGCTACACAAGGGTATTTTTCCAGCACAAGTCATATCAACAGACTAGCACAAATAATGTCGGACTCCAGACTTCAAATATTCACATGGTGCGTGCCGACGGTGTTATTTTAGGAGCATCATCCTCGGTCTCAAGACTCACTACTGGCTCGATGATCTGACGTTCAACCGGTTTGTTGTTGGTCGTTTCAACATCAAGGTCTTCTACTAGGCGAATCGGCTGATCCAGCTCGGCATGTGCTGGTAAAGGAGGCATCGGAGTTAAGGCCCTGCGCTTGGCGTCCATAGTATTGAAAAGACACAGACATGCATACGAGTCGGTTGCAGCATCTATAGAGAGAGCCGTTAATACTCTTGACACATAATGAGGTTCAAGAAGGACTCACACTGAACTTGACGGTAGTTTAGTGCAGTGGTCCAATCGCCGCATCGGACGTCATCATCCTTTGCTAGAGGTAGACCGAAGTGCTGTTCGACCTGCTCGCTTAGATTGACAGGTCTTCTATTAATGAGCGCCGGATTTGACTGGCAGTATTTGACCAACTTGTACAGGTGACTGAGTTCGAAAATCCCACGAGCGTTGATACCGAGAAAGTTCTTTAGGCGCGTACAGTCCGCCTTTATCGCTACTCCAGCCTTCGTAATTTTTGGTGATTCAAGAATCCTCTGTAGAGAAGGAGAAATAAAGTCTTCCGGCTTTCTCGCAGGCTTGAACAGCGCGATTTGAAAGAGGGCAATTCGCTCCGCATTTGCAATCTGTATCAACGAGACGTTACTTTGAACGCTGGCAGATTTGCTTGACTGCGGTTTCCATTCCATATCAAAGCCTAATACATCATCATTCAAGAAGTATTTTGCTACTTCCTCGGTCTTTTTAAGGGACTTGCAATAGTGCACGATGATGTCTTTCCCGTTTGGGGCCTTACACAGCCGGTGGCTCCAGAACTTGGGGCCCGGAGGAATGGTTAAAGCAAGAGATTGCCGCGTAATCAGGAACTTCTCGCTTACGGCTGTCTCGGTCTGTGTTTCGTCTTCAGACTTGCTGCTCTGGGAAACATCTGCCTTGCTGTACGACTGGCCGATATGACCAGAACTACCTTCGTGGTTGGAAGGACCAGCAATTGATTGCGCTATCGGAGCCTTGGTAAACGAGCGTCTTGAGTATTCGACACAGAAGTTCATGTTTAGCCTTCTCGATTGGTCAGGCCATGTGGAAGGAAATCTTTGATCGCCTCCCGCAATTTCCCTAGCGAGCGTCGAAAATACATGACTTCGTACGTAGCTTTGCTTTCTATGCCAAAGCCCAGTAAACCAGTGTGAGAAATTCAAGTCGTACTGCAATCCATTATTCTTCTTGGCAACAGCCCTAGAAGTGGTGGGTAGACGCGTTTGCCGTGACTGCTGGGCCAAGTCGAGACATATGCTAGGAAGGCCTAGGTGCCTTTTTAGGCTTAAAAGCCAAGTGTCTGTTTTAAAATCCCGAGATGCAGCCCAGCATCTGGATGTGCATCTTTCAAATTTGGAGTCTGATGTCCAGAGCCTTCTTGGGAAGCGCGTTCCACACAGGCGTGTGGGGGATATCATGCTGCACTCTTATCTGCTGGTAATGTACCTGAATGCTAGGACTACTTAGATCACGGTAGTCCACACGCTGATTATGCGCCAGGCGAATGTACACCACTCAGCAAAGCCGTGTCCCGAGCTCTCGACGCGATACTCGGGGTGGACCGACTTGCTTTACTCGAGGAGAGCGAAGTAACATGACCCTCGTGAGCGATTTACACGGTATCGTGCATGGGCTGGCTGATCATCAGGCAAATACCACCTCAGGACTCGCTGTAATAGTTAACCAGATAGTCGATATTTTCATGCCTATGTATTCAGTGGCAGGGTTTGTATAGATCATATCTAGGTAGATGGTATCAGATCGGAGAAGGATCGGCGATAGATGTGATTGGGCCGAAATTCGGAACGGATAAACCTGCTCCCTTGCCCTCCAAGATCATCTGGCGGAATGCTCAAAGATCCGCTTGAGGCTTCATTTTCTATACGACGCATAACACTTGATACTAAGTATTCTCTTTACTATTAAAGGTGGACTTTAAAGTGTAAGGGCGCAGCTGTGAGGATAGTGCGCTAGATTCCGACTATAGAACACTTCGAGCACAATGGCGTCCCAACTCCTTCCTTTGGGTAATCTTCATAACCACGTGTATGCATAGACTTGTGTGATTAACAGGTTGGCAGAATTGATCGATAAGTGTGTGGGATCGAGGATCTGGGTCATCATGAAGGGTGACAAAGGTAGGTGACTACAGTGGCTGCGACGACTATGTACTGACAAAATAAAGAATTCTCTGGCACATTACTTGGATTCGACGACTACGTCAGTAAGTTATCTTGAGTGTCTGAGAGAATCTTAATAGATACTGATTTGCTGCAGATATGGTTCTGGAAGATGTGACTGAATTGTAGGTGAATGCTCTATTCTTGCCATGCTGGCCTCATATGCCCATCGGCCTTTCCAGGATGCCTCCTGTTTTGTTTCAGCGTTTCAATGATGGTGTAAGCGTTAACATAATGTAGCGATTACTCTGGAGCACAGGTCAAGCTCCCTAAGATCCTGCTAAACGGGAACAATATCTGCATGGTATGGACGCCGAAGTCCCTCTCTTTCCCTCTATCGCACGATTCTGACATTGTTTTTCAGTTAATCCCTGGTGGCGAGGGACCAGTTGGCAGCTCCTGATTTTATGATTTCCAGTTTTCTTTGATCAGTGTAATGAACATGACTTGCAAACGACTGTCACAATGATACTGCATAGAACTTCACCTGAATAGCAAAAGCGTTCCCTTGTGCACAGTTGCAGTCTCACTGTATTCTCACTTGGTTCATCCCAATGCGACCTCGCATAGGCATGTTCGCCGAGCTTGAGAAGCAACGCCGATACCGTCGAAGATCATGGGAACCAACCTGGGTACAGTCCATGGTTGCAAGACTCTGCGAGAATCCTGAGTAGAAAAAGAGATAGTTTCGACGGATGGTCCAGGAGCAGTACAATCAACGTGTGACGAGATGGAAGAGAGATGGGCGCTCGCATACGGACGTGATTGACTTGGTATTCTCGGCAAGATGCGAGGGGAACAGCTGTGAATGCAGCGGGAAGCATTCTGAGCGTTAGGGAAAGTCAATTTCTGGTCTTCAAGCTCTTTGATCAGGAGTCTAGACAGTGCTAGAGTTATGGCTGAAGCCTGTGACTATCATGACATCCAATTGAGCTATTTTCGTTAGTCACTCCAAGAACCCACCCTGGGGGAAACATGACCGTCTGAAGCCGTTGACACTTCAACGAGCGGAGACTCGCCCGCATGATTGACATCTGAGAATGGGGAACAAGTGTTAAGTTGCGGAAAACCTGGGGTAACTCGTCCACGTATTCTTCTTGAAGTAAATCATGGTTTGTGGAGTATGGGGTAAAAGGTACAGACTTGATGGCTCCAAGGCAGTCCGACGAATGGCGTGTCCTCGAATATCCATCGTGTCGTCAGTACGGAGTAATCGCTCGCGGATATTTTGGCAGGCTCCATCCGCTACTTCGATCGCTCGTAGTCGGTTGGCGGCGGAATCTTTCTTGAACTTCGCGCAAACACGCGGTTGGACAAAATCATGGGAGTGATTCCACTCATTTCAGCCTGTGCTCGGTTCTCTGCCCCAGACATTTCCCCAGACCACAGTGTGGAATCTGTTACATAACAGGTTCCGCTATTCCCCGCGTTTGCATCGCAGAGACGGGGGCGAAGCAGCAACATCCAAGCATATCCGGAGGATCAACGAGCGGTTTATGAGACTACTCCCACCATATCTATTATTCGTACTCCAATCATTGATCCGGAGAAGTTAAGGGGAGGAATGAGATGGGGACGGGAGCCAGCAATACACCGTCATATGACATTGAAGTCATATTATTGGAGACAGGGATATATCATTGCGCGATTTTGGTCGGTTGAACTTGTTTTGGGCGGGAGATTGATGCCCCGTTGCCGGTCAAGTCCCGGTCGTGCGTCCAATCCCAAATCATTGTGTTTCAACTACGATCTCTGCTCATCTTATCGACAGTCTGTGTCACTTGATTCAGTAATAGAAATTCAATGTTGTGCCAATATGGCATCTCACTATTAGGTTAGCCCATGCAGAGAATCACGACATTTGTGTAACATTTTTGGCTCTTTTTGATGCCACGAGGATTCTGTGGCCATTTTGAGAAGTCTAATAATGTACTCTCAATGAGAGCCATGCAACATATTAATCTCATCACGTGAACTAAGTTTCTCATCTTATCCTATGAAAAACAAAATGCCAGGAGTACAAAACATGCTGCGGATGGCCAGGGAAAAACTGGATTCTGGAAACTTGAGGCGTAAAGCTAACTTTTGTTCTTCTCTGGAATCCAGAAGCGCCCCAAAGGCTAATGGCTACGCCATCTGGGCGCGATGTTACGGTAGCCGGTTCATCAAACCATCCTCGTCAGCAGCAATTGACTTCGGCGCCGACGGAGTCAGCCACTAAGGCTTGGTAATTTTTTTCAGTTCAAAGGGGGTACAATAATGAATTTTCTTGCCACACAAAGAAGAATTTTGAATCAGGATCATGGCACAGGCAGACAAGGGGAGTTCTTTAAAGATATTTTGAGCCAAAGTAGGCACCGTAGACCATCGAATCGAAAGGTAAGAATGACTTTATCTATCTGGCTTATAATTTGGAGGAGACTTGAGGCGAAACAGTGGTAAGCAGTCAAAGCACTCAGGAAGACTTGGCTGAGGGAGGAAAAAGTACTCGTCTGCTTGTGTAGTAAGTACTCTGGGCCTCGGTCACTACTCACCAGCATATGCGTGATCGATAATCCCATGGATAGTAATGAGGCCAAATGCCCAGTTAGTGGCTGAGGAGAATAAACTGTCCTAGGGTCGATTTTAACCGCACTATCTATCTGTACCTATTTGTGAGTCGTAAGGTGCTGACAGGGCATAGTGACCTAGGCTGCATAAGAAAGATTTGGGCAACAGGCTGTATTGCAAGATGGCCGACGGATTCCGAACCGATCGCACCTTACTTTGTAGGTACCAATCAATAGAACAGTGCTACTGAAAGTATCACTATTCCTGCAATTCAGGCTTCCTGGACTCTCGTTTGTACCTGAACTGAACGCGTTGAAGCCCTCGCCTTCAGAACTTTGAGGTAGGTAACTGAAAATCGGAACACATTAATTACGGGCCAGATTGGGCCTAGAGCTCGAGCGCCAGTGATAACGATGGCATCTTCGCCTGCCACTTCAAGGATTCTACTGCGCTTCCGTGCATCTGGAGATCCCCTAACACGGCTGAGACAGACAAGTAGGAAGCTCTCCAGGTGTAGCGTATGGCTCTAAGTCCTGTGTGGTTATAGTAACAGCCAGTCAGGTACATGGTCAGGGGATATGGTTTTCGGGAAGTAAGCACTGTCGAGTTATCAGCCTTCTTCCCTCGACCTTCCAGAAGGAAAGTAGCGACATCACCTGAGTATGCTAGAAAACGTCTAAACACGACAATTCCTTATCTGCCTGGTTTTTGGCGTTCAGTCCCGTGCATATCAGGATCATGAGCTTACCATGGATCTGTAAGTCTCAGATGTAAGGAATAATGCCTAGGCAAGGCTAAGCAAAGAAATGTGTTATCTACAGGACTGTCAATGGAATTTTGATTGGTTACTGGAGGATATCGCGTGAAAGAAGTGGTGCGGAGACTAATTCCCAATGAGGATTAACGGGTTTCATTCTCTCAAAGCAACGACGGCTCGTCCGGTCAGCCCCACCCCTCCTTTTCTGCTCCGGCCTCCACAAGGGCAGGAGGCCAAGGAATTCATACCTTATCGCCCTCATCAACCACGGGCTCATGATTTACAAATCACGAGCGATGTCGCCACCATCCCAGCGAATGGTAAGGTAGGGAATCGAGACAGCCTATTGTGTTGGCAATCGACCATTCGCCCCGAGGTCATTCGCCATGTAGAGACCTGTATAAGCGAAGAAATACTGAGGTAGTATTCTCTTATCCTTGGCGGTCTGCGGTTTCCTTGGTATAGGAATCTCATCTCTGCAAACGGAAATCTACTCTGTCGTCCCGATTAGTGGTTACAACAGTCCATTACCAATGTCATGATAAGTGTCCTTGTAACAGAGCTGTTAGATAGCTATCTCTGGTTATGCATAGATAAGTATGGGGTCTCTGGAGCAACTTAGCAAGTCGGTGGTTTCGACTCCACAAAAGGATGGATCCTCACCAATCCCCAGAGAAACCACGAGCAGCTCCAGTGTCAGGTTGGCCGCGGTCGCGGCTCGCAGGAGATATGATACCAAGAAACTTGCCCAACCCCAACTGCAAGACTGCTGGCCACTGGCCAGTCCCCATACGCTTTCTAACCCGAAGCGGTAGTGCGGTACAGCCACTAACTCCATGTGGAACCTCTGTTAAAGCAAGCGACTATCTAGAATTCTAGATACATAGGAGCTGAAGCCAACCTGCTACTAGGCAGAGGACGTTGTATTGCATGGCACCCTCTTATATTTAATTCGACGTTTATTTTTTTGTGTGCATGGAATCATGCAATCATGCTGTTCGCTCCCTTTTCTATGCCCCTTTTTCCCTACTTCCCTGGAATCACCAGAGTGAAATGGCGTTGGTCTACTTTGGATATCGTACAGATGGGTGGATGATAACAGTTGCTTTCTGGTTAGGTCCACGGGTTAGCCTAAGATTCTAACCAAGACGATGGGATATTTAACGAGTTCTCCATCATTATCATGATTATTATTATTATCTGACTAGCTTGATGCAAGACACGGCTGGTCTAATTTTGAGTTGGAATGGCTCGTGGTCTGTCATTATTCCCGCAGTCAATCCAGTAGTAAGTTCACCGAGTAATAATAATTCAAACTTATCAAGGAGTGATGGCAAAAATCGAGGGTCATCATAAATAATAACCAAAACCATAAATAATAAACCACCAAAGCAAAGTCTAATTGGACATAGTCTACCCCAGGCCCGGTCAATTTCACCTTTTTTAACTTCCCCCGACCTAGGGACAGAACGCCAAAGCGTAAGCTGTCGGCCAGTAAGCCCAACCACAGAAATCCTGACTCTTGGTATCTCTCTATCTGTGTGGCGTCTGGGTGAGGGGACCATTCCTTTGCTGCGAAAGCGTTCTTCGCATCTTGACACTAGAGAGGCAAATTGATTATTGTCTTTGGGACTAGTCTATCTAACCTAGTGAGAATGTGATCGTCCCATAGACAGCCCTCTTGTCCTGTTATTTATACCGACCCATCTGCCTCTCCCTCATCATTCACTCAGACTAAATAGTCTCTCTGCATTGAACCCTTAGACAGTACACTCCTAGACTCCTTGTTTCAATCTATTCACCTCACTTTTTTTTCACTTTATCCTACCCCTTCATGTTACATTTATCTTCGCTTCATTAACGATTACACAATCATGGAGAAAGACTCTATTGAACATAAGGCGGAGCCTATGGTGTCCGACCCTCCCCCAATCTACGGTGAAACAGAGACTACCAAAGGGAGCATGGGTCAGCGGATATGGGACAGCTTCAAGAGGGACCCTAACGCGCATGTTACGGCGGAGACCACTGGATCAAATGGCGGGACCTTTGACCTCGAACAGGCTGCGCAGAAGACCGCAAGCTCTCCTTTGCAA